GTTTACCTGATTTGAAATTGTATTTTGCAGCTTGCTGTTTGGTTTGGATGAAAGAGTGGGTACTGCTGAGAAACCAAAGGCTTTTGGAGTTAGAAGGACATGACCTGAGATTTGGGTGGCATGGATATTTGTGGCATGACAAAGACAAGATCAATGCAGATTTTAAAAACCATTATGTTAGACGTGCCATATTGAGAATATGGAATAGATACAAACCCAGGCTGTGCCCAAAAATACCTCTGTGGCTCTCAGCACAAGAAGCATATTACAGACAAGAAATAATAAGCAAATACAAATTGCTAACTTATCAAGACATACTAGAATTTTGTCAGGGGGGATGTAAAATAAAATCAAGAGAAGAAGTGGTGGCAGAGGGATATAATTATCAATGATTTTCTTATTTACAATTATTAGAAAGATTTAAAGTAGACAAAATAATTTATGGTGTTGAAGATTTTAAGACTGAGTTTGAAATAGAATTGTGTGCAAATGATGAACATCTATTTGCTAAAATGTATAAACTTTTATTGAAATATGAAACATAAGAAGAACAAGTGAAAGACTGTAAGATAAAGTGGGCTAAAATATAAAGTGGGCTTATAATATACAGATGGAACAATGGGAAAATGTGTGGCTGAAAGGATTGAAATTTACATTATGTTATAATCTCAAAGATAATTTTTATAAGATGATATACAGTTGATATTTGTCACCAGAGAAACTGTCTAGAATGTATAAGCTTCAAATTTATGTTGGAAATGTGAACAACAAGAAGGGACATTTTATCATGTTTGGTGGACGTGTAAAAAAGCTAGAAAATTCTGGATCCAAATACATACACTGATGCAGAGGATCTTAAAGATTAATATACAATTGAAACCAGAGGCTTTTCTTTTGGGAAAACAGTTGGAAAAAAGTCATGGAACTTTGTTTTTGTACATGATAACTGCAGCAAGACTACTGTATGCACAAAGATGGAAAGATTTGGCATTACCCACAATGAAGGAATGGTTGGTGAAAATGATGGAACTTGCTGAGATGGCCAAATTGACTTTTTTGATCAGAGAAAAGACAGAATCTACATTTATTGCTGACTAGAAATCCCTTATAGACTTTTTGTGCGAAATGGGAAAAAATGAACCTATGATTTATGGTTATGTTGATTAAACAGAATAGAGTATAGATAGAAGAGAGGTGTGTTGTAACCATAGAGTAAGAGGTAATGTTGTACTTTTAACTGCTGCAAAGAAAATTGGAAGCTACTTCTTTGTATCTTTTGTCTTTCTTTTCTATTTTTTTACTTTTTTTCTTTTCTTGCACTTCTGTTTGATTTTTTTCTTTTTCTTTTTCTTACTTTATATTAGTTGGTATTAGTTTTTATATTCTTTTTAAAAATCTTTAATAAAACTATATTAAAAAATCATGCATGGAGAGATCACTCTAATAATAATGTATGATTTTGAGTGTCATGGCAAACAGTGGTTTGACTCAAGCAGAAAATAAAGGAGCAGGATGCATGACTAAAAAAGAGAGAAAATGTAGACAGCAATAGCTCATAATTTTTCAAGTATATTTTAGATATAGTTATGACTATTCCTGTTTTGCATTTTGATGTGTTTCAGGCTACTCACTAGGTAAAGTTGTGTGAGTCTCTAAGCTTCCATCACTTCCAGCGCTAGAAAAAGGATAATACAGAATCAGTCAGTAGTGTTAATACCATATCCAGCACATACCATCTGTCAGAGAGAACAACTGTGGAAAGGGGAGGATAGATTTGGAAAACAAATTCCTTCCAAGATAAACTATTAGGCATGTATGAATTCAGAGGAAGTTTTCAAAGTTTTCAAATCAGCTTAAGTAAAAAATGTTTGCCATAATTTCTGAAGAAGCAAAGTAATTTGAGACAGTGTGCAACTAGCCTAAACAGCAAAATCCAACCTTACTTATTTTTGTGCATTCAGGGTACCAAGGCGAGAACTAAGTAATTTAATAACAGGCATTGTTTCATAGTATTTTTACTCCAAATGTCAGTGTAATAACAATCACTCTTTTAACAATTGGTTTTTTTTGATAAAATGGTCAGCATTCCACGAAGATATTCGGTAGAGGAGAATTGGTGATAAGGTTTCTAATGTAAGCTGTGTTACATTAATACATATAAGCATTAGGCAAGCTTCCTATTATTGCTTTGTGCCACTCCTAGTGGAGGCTTAATGACTTAGGAATTATCTCAGATCTTGATCTGATCAAGAGTTATTTACTCAGCTTGATAGAAATGTAAGCCACAGTAAAGATGGCGGTACATTCTTAAAAGATTCCTAGTAAGGTGTTGGGAAAGACCAAACTGCATGTTTGGGCATGAAAATATGATGTAGGATGCAACTTTCCCACAATGTAGCCTGTCTTCATTTCTTTCACCTCTATAATTACCTTAACTGTTCAGCCAAGAGCCTTCAGTTTCATATTCTAGTTCTACTTTACCCAATATGATACCCTCCAGATATAATAGGACTATCAGTTGGGAATTTTAGGCCTTGCTGTCCTAATACACCTGAAGGGTGCAGTGTTGGGGAAGGATTTTAGTAGAACCTGGAAGAACTTTGGAGAAAAAAACATTTACCCCCAGGAAAGCCCTCTCCAAGCTGTTTTGACATCATTCAAGCCAACTGCTTTAGCTCCTTCAGCAATCTATTAAAAAAATGGGGAAAAAATTAAAATAGCAATGTAACCAATAGGAATTTATTGTGTCTTACCGAATCAAAGAGTTAACATCTGGGTAACAGTTGCTGATGAGGCCACTCTATCAATCTACCAGAAGAGGAATGTTCTAGAAAACCTTCATTTACTAAATAAAGTAGGCAAGACAAAAAGCTCATGCTCAATTTATGTATTTAATATTTCCATTTATGGTATTTGCCATTTGACCTGGCTACTGAGAGAATCTATTTTCTGGATTTGTACACCACATTTCATATCTCCAGCTACACTGGCTGGTTGTGAAGTCTCCTTTACTAAACACTCAGGATTAACATTCTGCTAGATGTCAATAAGTTGGCATTCTCAGGTTCTTAGGAAGAACAGCATTACCCAAGATGTGGACATACTTACCATCATTGAATCACCAAGTGCTGCTATCACTTGGATGTCAGCTGGCTGCAGCCTATGCACTAAAAAATAGAAATGAAGTTGAGGAAGGGTATCATATAGTAGCAAGATATCTTGATAGGCTAATCAAGCTGAATGTTGCAGGGATAGGTACAACTTAAAAGATAAGTTGAACACTTTTAAAGCTTAAAAGCTCTGTACCCTTACATGGCCATAAGTTTCATTAGATGCAGTTTGGACCTACCTCCATTTAATCCTGCGTAGGACTGAGTTGTACAAAAAGAGAAGAATATAACAGACAGATCAACAATACTCAGCACTGGCCTAGCTTGCTAAACTATAATATAAATATGCCTTATCTTTTCCAGATTCTTCATTATCTTTGTTGCCCAATTTGGCAATTAATTTTCTCTTTGGGGACCATCCTGCATATTATTAGGCAGCTGAAATCCCACTGAAGTCAGTGGGATTTAAATAGTCTCACTATGTGCTGTACTCCCACCCATACCAACCCTGAACATATTATAGCTAAGATAAAATAAGTTTTAAACATTCATTGATAGAAAAATATGAGCTGAAAATACAGTCACTGAAATGCTTAAAGCTGCAAGAATAGAAAAGGAAAATAGAAAAGAAAACTACGTTGTCACTCTCTCCCCAAACCCCAGCATTTTGCATTAGTCTGCATTGAGGGAGGAGGAGAAAAATACAGTATTTTTTTCTTTTTGCTGTATGTGCAGTTATTTCTCACCTGATGTGGGGACTTCTCTGGATTCAGTCTGTACAGAACATGGCAGATTGCTACCCCAGTTCTTAAAAACAAAATGCAGTCAACATATCATTGGAAGTTGTTCATATATGATATAATGTATTGAGACTACAAGAAATCTAGTAGCAATCCTTGTTTCAAAGGAAGTTCTGCATCCTATTTCTGTGCTTCAAGAAGTCAACCTGAAATTACTGACTTCATCCTTGGGTTCATGCCAGGAGTAGAATTATACCTAGCATTATTCATTACTATTGCCCACAGCTGACATTGAAAAACAGTTTGGTGTACAGTAATGGTTAAAGATGCTGAAATAGGAGCAGGGAAACCTGAATTCTAGTCCTCTGTAGGCATGAAGCCAGTTGCATTACTGTGGGCTAATCATACTGGCCTACCACTTCCAAAAATGTTGCCAAGAAAACTTCATGGACCTGTCCATATAGTCACCAGAAATCAAGACTGACTCAAAGGACCATAACAATAACAGCAGTTGACAGTACCCTTGTAAAATTTCTACTAAGATTGTCAATTTTTCTTTTTGGTTTTCAAACAACTCTATCTGAAAGCATGCAATCCATAACATTTTGCAGATAAGAACTGAGGATAAAAGAGTGATATCAAGCTTCTGTTAGATACAGATCCAGCTCCCTGACTCCATGAACTGCTTATTCTGTGCCCGACTCTATGCCTGAAGTTAATGACATGTTTTATGATATAACTATTCTTTAGTACTGCATTGGAAAAAATTAACTGATTGGCATGAATATTCACAATAAGCTTGGCTATTCAACAATCATACCCAGCAGTCCTTTCTTCAACCCCACCTCCAAGGTACATCTTAACCAAGTCTTTATATTTAAATATGCTGTAGAGGAGGGAAAAGAATTGAATGGATTATACATGACCAATTAACGGCCCTCCAATATGCTCAGTGCTCAGGTTTCTGTTCATCCACTCAACCACAGCAGGCCTCTTGTTTCTGCCTGAAAGCCCCTGGTATGTTGATTCTTCCATATGAACTGACCAAACACGTCTAACAGTTGCACAAGTCAGAAATATCCCTTGCCTTGTCAAATCAAATGTCAGAATCATCTGTCATATCTGGGCGTATTCCAAACTCACAATCCACATTGTTAGGAGATGATGACTAGATCTAGGTTTGTTTGTTTTTTTTTAATGAAATAACTGCCTTTCCCACAAGGGTTCCTCTAAACATAAAACTGTCTTGGGGAAAAGTTAAATTGGGAAAACAGCATGGACATGAGAAAGGGTATCTCATCCCCAAAGATTGTTCCCTGATATCTATCCATTCTATGGCTGTTACTCATTAAAAACAAACAAACTGAAGCTTATCTCATGATAGATTTCCTATAATAACTTCTATCAGTGCTGGGTTTGAATACTGAAACTGCTGACAAGACCTTGAAAAAAGATACTTTATACATGTGTAAAAACTTGTCCACCATTTTGTCCTTGCATTAAATGCCCCCAAACCACATCAAAGGACCTCCAAATGGAATCACATGTAACACCCACAGATATGCAAAACTCCTTACCACAGATAATGAGATCCAGGTTAGGTTTACTAATGGCAAATATGTAAACCCACAATAATGGAATGGTGGCTCATGAGGGCTACTTGTAATGCAAATACATCATAGACCTGGGTGTCAGACAGTCCATGCAAAAAGAGTGTGTGAAAATTCAGGTGTGAAATTGCTGCACACCACAATAACCATCCATTTATGGAGAACTGTAGCTTAAATGGGAACACAATTTCAGGCTCTTACAGACCTCACATTGTCACTGCAAACCCCTAACTTGAAATGTTAAAACATCCCGTAGATACCAGAAAACATGAACTATGCTAAGAGAGGCAATGCACAGTAAATAATAAAGGAATTACCTGGTTTGGCAGCTTGGTAGGATCTTCTGATGGATGCATGGCATGGCTGTTTTTGAAGGTAGCCAGGAAAGGTTGTTGCTAATAGAGAAAGAACATGAATGCCAAGCTTCAAAATTCCAACAGAGAAATAAGGACAGAAGTGGGATTCAAGTCACGTGATCAGAAAGTTTATTGCAGCCAAGTCTGCAAGTCTAGCAGGTCTGAATGGAAGTGCTGCAGTAAAGGTTCTCGCACAAAAAAGGGGAATTTGGGGGGATCCATCTATTTGAATAATGGAGACAAACTAGAACATTTGAACTGAGACAAGCTTCCATAGGGAGACTATTTCAAATAACGGCTGAGGCACAAAATGCAATTGTCTGGAATCTGCTGCGCGAAAAAAAAGTTCATATCTTTTCATCATCTTGCTTGCCAGCCAATCCAAAATATTGCACAATGCTGCAAGTTGGCAATACAGTGCCAGAAAGAGCCATCACCTTATGAGATAATGCACAGATAATTCAAAAGAGCGATAGCGAGCTTACGTGACACATTTTATGGGCAGAGAGGAGGGAAGGTAGAACTACAGGCTGTTTGGTCATTCAAATTCTAGGACCATTTTGCAGCCTAGTCTAGAACTTGTTCCATGCAATAGCAGGCCTTAAAAGATGAACCTTTCCCATTAATTTCACAACAGAAAAGTCTGTGTTCCAAGCTATGCTCTCTTTCGCCCGCTACAAGCATGGAGAATCCCATTTCCCTACACGCTTATCAAAGGTCAGATATGAACATGAGCTCAAAACGTTTTGCTGCTTTGTGCCTGAAGTGTTTTAAAAGATGCCTCCCAGAGCTCCTTCCAGTGTTCAAATGGAGACACTGCACAAATAAACAAATCTGCAAGCTTTGCTCAAACGCCCTTTCAACATTTGCAAAGACCACAGAGGTGCTTCTCAGATCATCGTTACTTTGTTGGCGCTCCACAAAATGTTGAAGCCCAAAATGAGTGCTGCTTGCCCCAAAATCATAATCTTCTTTTAAAAAATACAGTCATTTTATCTTAATGATTTTACTGTGTTGTGTTTTAAACCATACAGTATATCTCACAGAAAAACACATCAGAAAGTTTAAGAGATATAGAACTAATTGCATTTACAACAACAAGCAGATAGAAAAAATATTGCTTTGTCCATTTGCCTCATGTCATGTAGGAGGCTATTTATGATTTGTTGGCTTCATTTATATCTCCAGGAACTCAGCACATCATGGATAGCACTTTCCCCTCCATTTTCCTTTCCTGACAGCAACAACCTGGAGAGGTAGGTTGGGCTGAGAGGTAGTGTGAGGCTCAAAGCCATCCAGTCACCTTTCATGACTCAGGGTGAAACTAATTCTCCATAGTCCTGGCCTGATATTTCAGTGTTTCTCAACCTTGGCAACTTGAAGATGTGTGGATTTCAACTCCCAGCATTCTGCAGCCAGCATGCTGGCTGGGGAATTATGGGAGTTGAAGTTCACACAATTTAAAGTTGCCAAAGTTGAGAAACACTGTGATATTTACCCATTACATTGCTCAGCCATACAGTAATGTGTTTGGCTACTTGCATATAGCTTGGGCTGGAAAATCCAAGAACATTTTCCCACAACGTTAAGCAGAGCTGCCTCCTCGCACCAAAGTCCACAGCAGATCTTCAGAATCTTACATATATATTTTCCAGTACTGATTGTGATATTCCATAGATTAAAGAAGATAGACTGATTCTATAAATTAGCTGGTAAGATCAAATAAAATAAAAACCCTAATTTAAAATATTTACATTATTTTATTGTACATTATGTAGTTATGCCTATTTACTAGGAATAAGCTACAATGGGCTTTTTCTCTGAATAAATTTGCACAGGATTGTGCTATTAATGTGTATAATTACTAAAATATATGAGTGAGATAAAGATTTTCTATAACTAAGACCACTAACTTGTCCTAGGAAATGTGAAGGACACAAGAATTTGGCAGAAACCATATGAAATATGGGAGCATATTTTGGAAAGTTTTCTATTTTATCTAGTACATGGATCTGTGACCTCCAGGACATAAATAATTTATTTATAGGCTAACAGTATAATCCTAAACATGCTATTCAGAATCAGAAGTAAGCTGCATTACGTTTTGTGGTAAAATTGTCTAGAATTTCAGCCTAATAATTGAGGGATAGGACCAAGAGTTTACGGGGAGCGATAGGACCATGGAATTTTATCAAAAAGTGCCTGACCACTCAACCTACTACAACACAACCTACACAAGCTATGAAAAGGATCATCCAACTTGCAATCCCATCCCTTGGTAATGACTGATA